AGCATACTAGCGCTCAAACACAGGCCAATACACATGAGTATCTCAGCTTAATACACATCTTGACTTATACAATTAAAAGTAGGACCTTGGGTAGTGTTGTAAAACAAAGAGACCTAGGGGTTCATGTTCATAATTCTTTGAAGTTTACATCACATATAGACACCGTGGTTAGACACCTTGCCTTCATTGTTCAGACCTTTGAGTATAGGAGTTGAGCCGTCATGTTGAGTTGTACAGGACATTGATGAGGCTTCTTCCGGAGTACTGTATTGCCGTTATAGGGAGGATATTATTAACCTGGAGAGGGTTCAGAAGATATTTACCAGGATGTTGACAGAGATGGAGGGTTTGAGTTATAAGGAGAAGCTGGATAGGCTGGGACTTTTTTAGCTGGAGCATAGGAGGTTGAAGGGTGACCTTTAGAGATTTATAAATCCATGAGGGGCATACATAAGGTGCATGGCAGGTGTCTTACCCATAGAGTGAGGATTTCAAGACTAAGGGGCATATTTTTAAGGTGAGAGGGGAAAGATTTTAAAAAGACATGACGGGCAATTCTTTTTACACAGAATGTGGTTCATGTGTGGAAAAAACTTCCAGAGGAAGTGATGGATGCAGGTACAGTTACAATGTTTAAAAGACATTTGGATAAGTACATGAATAAGAAATGTTTGGAGGGATATGGGCCAAGAGCAGGCAGGTGGGACTAGTTTAGTTTGGGATTATGGTCAACATGGACTGGTCAGACTGAAGGTTCTTGAGTTGTATGGCACTATGACTCTATGAGTAGCTCAGTCCACTGGAACACCAGAGCACCTCAGCCTACTAGGATACTTTCATTCACTAGCACACACAGCCCATAGTTGAACTGGCTTTTAACTCCTATCCTCATGTATTCTTAAAAGGAAAAGACACAAAACATGCCTCTTACTCAGACCACAATCTTTTCTCTCATCATGTTCACCATCTGAGATAAATCCCAGGAGATCACAGTTCAGTTTGTCATTTTACTCTTTTAAATCCATCTCTTTGAAGCTTCCTTGACACTTCATTAGGTCTGATATTCCAGGGAATCTGCCCTTCTCTAGACTGCCACTGAAATTATATCCACAGTCATCTTTCGGTCGTACATCCTTTTATTTCAAAAATATCAATTAAAAGTTCAATGTGTCTGTAAGTACTTCAAGGTTCCTCTGTTGTCACAACAATTACTGAACTGCCCGTTACTAACAGCTTGCAGACCAGAAACTGAACTGAACTAACCATATAAATACTGTGACTACAAGAGAATCCAGAGGCTGGGAATTCCAGGGTGAGTATCCCACCTCCTGAATCCCTAAAGCATCTATAAGTCATGAAGTCAGGTGTGTGATGGAATACTCTCCACCTTCTTGATGGGTGCATCTACAAACACACAAAAGAAGCTCAAATCATTTTGGACAACCAGTCTGCTTACTTGATCCCCCATCAACCAACTAAACATTCAGTTCCTCTCTTGCTAATGCACTGTAGTGTATAGCATACGCAAGGTGCATTGCAGCAACACAGACTTCTTTGATGGCACCTTCCAAGCTCTTTACCAGCCCATAGCAGATCCACCACCTGCAATTTCCCCTCCAAGACATACACCATCCTGATTTTGATCTTATTGTTGGATTCTGGAGAATTACCAGGGGATTGGAAAATGCGAGGGTGACACACCTATTCAAAAAGGGAGGGAGGCAAAAGTAGGGTGACTATAGGCCGATTGGCCTAATATCTATTGTTGGAAAGGTATTGGAATCAATTAAGGAAGTCATAACAGAATATTTGGAAAATCATAAACTAATCAAACAGAGTCAGCGTGGCTTAACAAAAGGAAAAGTATGCCTGACTCATTTATTAGTTTTTTGAGGAAGACTCAACCAGGTGGATAGAGTAGATGTGTTGCATTTGGACTTCAACAAGATATCTCACAAAATGTTAAGCCATACGAGCCTATGGTGTTAGGGTAGTATACTGGTATGGATAGACAATTGGCTCCTGGGCAGTAAAAAGTGAGTGAGAATAAGTGTTCTTTTTCAGGATGATGACCCATGATGTGTGGGGTTTCACGGGGATCAGTGCTGGGACCACAACTGTTTACAATATAAATTAGTGACTTGGAGGAAGGAAGAGAATGTAGGCAAATTTGCAGACGACACTAAAACAGGTGGAAAGGCAGATCATGAGAGGAATACAACAATTCACAGAGAGATATTGATAGATTAGCTAAATGGGCAAAATGTTGGATTATGGAATATAATATGCAAAAATGTAAAGTTGTTCATTTTGGAATGGAGAACAAAAGAACAGAATATTATTTTGACCAGACCAAACCCCCTTCAGATATATCCACGAGATAGCCTAGACCCTAACTTTTATCCTATTTAAAGGCAAGTATGGAACACAGAACTAATTCGATTGGTTACACTATTCGACTTTAAGCACTTTATTTTTACACTACAGTTAAAAAACAAACAAAACAGGAAATGGTATAACTCCAATTCTATTGGAAAACTTAACAGAATAATGGATTTTTTAACTACTAAACAGCAACTGTTCCAATATAGTAACATCCAATAGACATAACCTTGGTAAAGGCAAATTCAATAAAATAGATTGTTTCACATGCCACATTTCTTCAGTCCAGGAGAAAAGAACATCAAGAGAAAATTTTGGCAGAGAGTGAGCTCAAGCATTTTGTGGTAGCTGGGAGAGATGTATAGCAACTTCCAAACCCTAACTACTGAAAGCTAAATTAAAACCCTGGTTCTGTGGGAACCTGATCCCACCCATTCAGGCTGCTTCTATTGTTCCAACTTTTAAAAAAACCCAAGGCCTCACAAGCTGTTTGCTTTATTGGCTTGGATCATGCTGCTTTGTATCTCTGTCTCAACCTCTCTTCAAAAGAAAAACCAGGACAAAATACACCACTTAAAGCCATAATATCATCACAATTTAGATGGAGGGAAACTGAAGAAAGCTGTAACACAAAGGCACTTGGGGATATTTGTGCATGAAACACAGAATGCTAACACACAGGTGCTGCAGGTAATCAGGAAAGCTTATGAAATGTTGGCCCTTATTTCAAGGGGGTTGGAATATAACAGTAGGAAAGTCTTGCTACAATTGTACAAGATGCTAGTGAGATCACATCTGAAGTATTCTATGTAGTTTTGGTCCCCCTATTTAAGGAAAGATATCATTTCATTGGCGGCAGTTCACAGAAGAATCACTGGGATAATCCCTGGTATGGAGGGATTGTCTAATGACCAAAGATTAATCAAGTTGGGATTCTACTCACTGGCATGTAGAAGAATGAGAGGTGATCTCATTGAAACAGATAGGATTCTTAAGGGGCTTAACAGGACAAATGCTGAGAGGATGTTTTCCCTCGTGGAAAAGTCTAACATAAGAGGGCATAGTCTTAGAATAAAGGGTATCAATTTAAAACGGAGGTAAAGAGGAATTTCTTCTCTGACGGTTGAGAGTCTTTGGAACTCCTTGTCCATATTTAATGCTGAGATAGATAGATTCTTGATCAATAGAGGAATGAAGGATTATGGGGAAAGAGAAGGAAAGTGGATATGAGGAATGTCGTCAGATCCTATTGTATGGTGGAGCAAGCTCAAGGGCCTGAATGGCTTACTCCTATTTCTATTTCCAATGGTCTTATGGACTCCCTCCAAAACAGCACTGTGTACTGAAGCTCACCTTCATCTTCTTAAGGACAGCTGAAAATGGGCAACAAATGCTGATATAGCCAATCTGAGAGTCAATCTAAATGTTAAATTAGAAAGAATATCATGCTGGTGGTAAAATTTGCATATTCTACTGGCAGTCATTCAATAACATATTATTTTAATACTTTTAGCTTTGTACTTTCAGCCGTGTGCAGAGTTCGGGGATAATTCTGATTATGTGAAGACTTTTAAAACGTGAGATAGTAAATCTGAGTTCATACTTCAAGCAGCTCCATTCAGACAGCACAGATTCTGTTCTAAAATTTCAATCCAACACAATTCAGTCATTTCGTAATTCATCATCAGTAGAAAAATGACAGGCTTGAGACCTCTCAAGCAACCTTGGCAAAACAAAATATTGAATTCCCAAGAGGATGAGAAAGGAATTAAAATGGGGGCGAGATTTATCTTAATATGTTAGAATAATTTTATGGAAAAATATTTAGGAGGAGACTTGTACCAAAATTACTTCCTTCCTCCCAAACTTGGTTTGGGAACTCGGTAAAGCAGCTTGTTTGTAGGTTGCTCTCCAGGCAATAAATGCTGACCTAGCCAGTGACACCAACATCCCACAACAAATAATTTAAAAAGGTACATTTTGATTGATGATTTGATTGTAGCTGATGCTGGTGGAGGGAGTGGATGCTTGTGGATGGATGCAAGTAGTCTGCTTTGTCCTCAATAAGAGCCAGGCTTTTTGAATGTTGTCAGACCTACACTTATCCAAACAAGTGGGGAACTGCAAATGCTGTAAATCAGGAACAAAAACAAAGTTGCTGGAAAAGCTCAGCCGGTCTGGCAGCATCTGTGAAGGAAAAAACAGAGTTAACGTTTCGGGTCCAGTGACCCTTCCTCAGAACAATGTGTTCATTTAAAGAGCCCACATCGACTGTATGGGCCGAATAGACACCATCTGCACTGCGACTAATTCTATCACTCCAACATTTGTCTTCAACCCACTGCTGACTCTTTCTGAGAGCAAATCGAAACCTAATCTCGCTGCACGTTGTTCTGAAGAATGGAAAGAGAAAATATTTCTTGCCTAGAGCCAGTTACACAGCAAGCCTATTGCACAGACGCCGGCCTTACAGCAGGTGGCGCAGCCACTCAGCAGGGGGCGGAATGCGGGGAGGACCGGGTGCTGGCGGTCGGCAGGGGGCGGAATGCGGGGAGGACCGGGC